ATATCTATATCCGTGTCAGTGTAAACTACTTGTACCTGATGATGACAAAACCTTGTCGAAACGTTGTACATTTGCTGTTATATTAAAGTTTTTCTTCATTACCCATTCAAGCCGTCTCCAGCCATTATTAGTCTCAAAGTGGGTTCCTCGTCATCGAATTTGAATACTTTGATTTGAATTCAAAACACCTTTAATAACTTGAACATTTGCAAACATAATATATGTATCATTTTTGTGAGAGAGGGGTGAGGTGGTATCCTCTGGTATTTGAATTAGGCAGTGTTGAATCTATTAACAAAATTCACTAATCACAAAAAAACACTTGTAACAAAACCTTTTGTAATGATGTGATGGTAACTTTGATGCTGGTATAAAATGTTTTTTGTTACAAAAAGTCCATGTCACAAGCTGTCCATGACGAAATGTCCCAGACTAATAAAAAAAGTGGCCAGGCCATGGCCTGACTGCCCTTACAGCTTCCTACAGCCCTAACATATTTCAAATGAGAGAATATGGCATACTATATAAATTATGTTGAAGATAAACAAGTAAAACCCTGCTATTATTTAAATAGAAAATATAATAGAGAGAATGACTTGTATATTAATTGTTTGTTGTTTCCATAATTTTTGTAAAATTCAATAGATCTGATAGTCAATAATTTCTTGTCCAGGTTTCAGGAACAGTTTTGTACATAGTAGATAATTTGTCTAGTTTATTTTTCTTTTTTAATTCATACAATTATTCTTCTGAATTGAGAGTTACAATTTGTACGTGATTGTATCCTAAGTCTTAAAATAGAAATTACACGTTACTATTAAGTTCAATAGATATTTTTCTTATTTTTGATATTTAAAAGCCATTACAGCAATAAAAGTAATTATGTGTTTTTGTGTCTGTTATCCACAATTTGTAATGATGCCATCCTGAAGTATTGTAAAAAGAAACAAATTCTGCATTCTTTTGTCTGAAAATTTCATTCTTTCTTACATTTAGTTTTTAAAATTTGACTCAAATGTAATCAAAGGGAAGTTTCTATAGTGCTTATGTTTTAGAAACTGAGTGATATTTGAACTTATCATCTTCTTTACTCATGCAGGAATTTAATAAAGCTGTTGACTTTTAAGGTTTTGGTAAGAATGTAAGGAGAATTATAGGGTAAAAAAGAAAGAGAGAACAAAGCTTAATTTGCATATTTGGGTTGTGAAACATCATTACAGTAGACTGGATTGTTTTAGAATATGTGAATTGTTTATTATTTTTTATTATTAATAATAAGTACTTTCCAAACTGTTGCAGAAAAATCATAATGACTTATAACAATACCATTTATTCATTTTTAAGATCAGCCAGATTGGTTGTTGAAAGCTCAATATAAAATATTTTCAAGTTTTCAGTTATCAGATTTAGTTTTTTCTTAGAAAGAACAGTGTGCTTGAATGATAGGCTCTAAACATTGATAACTATGTGTGTATGAGAAAAAAATAAATAAATACAAAACCATGTATTTTTAAAAAATTTTAAGTTTATTATATTATCGTTTTCCAATGTACATTGCTGTAAGTTTTGGTACTATATTTAAAATCTGATGTGTACTGGTAACTCGTTATTGTATGTGTAGTCATGTTTGTTTCTTTATACCTACGATTAAGACACAAATTATCCATTGTGAGGTCTTTACGACTACCCATGGCAAGTAGGATCATCCCATTTCATTTTGTTTGTGTTGAATGCATACTTTTGTAATTTTGTTTTTAAAAGGTAATTCTGGAAGCTGCATGGTTTAAGAGTCTGTAATATGACTTGACCAAATAAACAGAATAACCATTTTTAATTTACTTTTAATGCTTGATCGGTGGCTTTTTATATATATGAAACATTGATTTTGTTCTTCAAAAGAAAATTTAAAATTGTGGCAACACACTAACAAATAAAATAGAAAATGATTTGGAAGTCTTGTTATTTCTTTATTTAATTGTTCATGTAACAAGTTTTTGTTTTCTTGCAGTTTTAAAATACTAATGATGTTGAATGATAAAGTTTAAGAAACTTTTGTTTTACACCTTTTTGACTGAACAATCATAAAGATCTTGCTAATATTTATGTCCTTTTGTACACCAGTTCTGATAATTAGTGATTACAGCTCATGGCCTGGAAAGCTTTTTTTATGTTTTATTTCTGATGTGATAACATATTTATTGATTGTGCTTGAAATGCATTTTAGGTTAAATTCTTTTTATTTTACATTTGGAAGATATTATTAATTAATACTTTTTTTTATTAAAGTGTTAGGGACTGTAATTAAAAGAAGGTAATCAATTTGCCTACAGCTATTTATTTTATGTTATTATGAGTATAAAATGGTCATCAAAATACAGACTTTTATATCTTGGTAAAATATGTACTAAAAAAGATTGTTTAGTTCAAATGGTAAACATTGTAAATCATTACCAGTTGGCTTTTTTGCTGTTGTTAGCTTTGTACTTGGATGTTTCCATTGTGTTTATTTATAATGTAAATGGTATGTCTCTGTACTTGATTAGTCTGAATAAATGATGTATGTGTTTCAATAAAAACTTGTGTTTGGTGTAAATGACTCCATTTGATGGAAATTTCTCCATGTTTCTTTTTGAATTTTAAATTGAAAGAAGGAAGCAGTTAATAAAGTACTTTTAAACGTTTTTTGATGCTCTGAAAACTAAGTTATTTTAAGTTTACTTGAGCTATACAAATATTTTATGATGAAAAAAGGTTCATACCATACTTTAATAAATTCCAATGTTTTCAAACCATGGCTATATATATATATGTGTGTGTGTGTGAATAAAGTGCACATTGTTTTTGTACATATTGTTTCATTCATTATGTAAAATATTTAATTACACGTCTTTAAAAAACTGCTTAAAATGTCAGTATTCTATGTGTGTGTTTGTGAACACACACACACAAAACCATGATTTTTTTTCAACCCTTTTTTTTTATTTGGGCAAAGGATAAAACTTTTAACATATTAAATCCCAAGCTGTGCAAAAGATTGCAAAGTTTTCTTCATTGAATAGAAATATTTGTTATATGGAGTGTTATAAAAAATCTATTGGTTTCCTGAGTAAAATAATTATTTCAAAATCATTAATTTTATTGGAATAAAGCTTAGTTTCTGAATTAAAGAAAATTACTGACTAGACAATCTACTTCTTTAAAGTTAAAGCTGAAACAATAAACTTTGCTTTTATTTATTTTTTGTTACTGGTTTCACAAGTTGCATAAGGAAGTGTTTATGTGTGGCAATGATGTTGTAAATCTGTATTTTCACACAACTTGTATAATTATTCTCTTGAAACTTTTATGGAGCAAATCTGTATTATAGTCAATCTGTGAAAACAAATCTTTGAAAGCTGCAAATTTTGTCACAGTTTAAACAATTATTTTGTGTAAGTTCTAGAGTAAATAAAACTTGCATTTCTACAACATGCTAAACACATCTTTATGCGGTAATATTTGTCTTGAAGTAGAAAGAAATACTTTAATGTTCTTTACCTGACAATTCATAATTCTGAACTTAGGAGTTAAAAGTAGTTTTCCAAAATATAAAAATGAAAACCTTAAAATCCTTGCAAGACTTTAAAAACTGTTAAAAGCTATTTGCAACATTCAAATAATACACAGTAATCTATGTTAATGGTGTTTTTAAGCATCTTTTCTTACAAACAGGCATCTTGGTAAAAAATATGGAAGGCTTAAATGATCTATTGTAACTTTTTTTGACAACAGAAAATTTTTAACAAAAGCATTATGATAATCATAAATAGTTTTTGTCAACTGTATGTAGATTATACTTTCCTTTAAAATCATTCATTATTGAGTCTGTAGCACTGAATTCTACAGCATTGTGCTGTTAAGTGTGTCAACTAATTATCAATGCCATTTTTATTTTTGCAAGCACTGAACCAGTTTCAACAAAGATTGTCAAGCTCTTTGTCCAGCGAAGGTAATACAGGTTGTGTAGTTACTGCATATTCCCATTCATGCATGTTTACCCTAACCTCCTTTTATCCCATTCCTTTCACAAAACTTAGTATATAATTTTTAGTGTTCTTCAACAACTAGAATAGATAGTATTTTCAGCACATATATTTACTTTCTGTTGACCATTGAACATACTTGCTGAACAGTGCTGTCGCTTTAGTCAAAGCTTGAAATCTACAAGGTCTATATCATAAATAAGCACTCTTAATGTGTTATTAATGAAAAAGATATGCAAAAATGTTTTATAGCCAGAGTCGTGAAACTCAGTATGTGTTTCAACACAATCTGTTGACACTTAATGATACACCATCAACCAAATATCTCTCGAAGAAGGCTAATTAAGCTCTTTATAAAACATTCTTAACTGTTAAAGGAATTTGCGATAAATGATAATACTTGGTACATTTTAACATGAAATAATCATTGTTCTGTTAGATCCTACATCAATGATTTGCACTGTTAATATCTTGTTTTTAAGTTTTCTGATATACAGTATAAATAAAACAAAGCAAGACATATTCACCAGCAGCATTGAAAGTGCTTATAGTTAAATATTATTAACTGTAAAATAGTATAAACAGTTTCATTATTAAATAAAAGTAGCTATATGTTATGTTAATGAAGGAGTTAAGTGATTTTTTTCTTCTAAAGCAAAGAGATCAATAAAATGATTGTGAATTTTGATATGTAGTTTTCAAAACATTATATTTCCTGTAATATTTGTTTTCAATCATAATTGGTAATTAATAATTTAAATATTTCTTTTATATTCCATGTAGCTCCTTCTCTATCATTGAAGAAACTGATTTTGTCTCGACAACACTCTTTAGATGAACAGAAAAGTGAGTTCGATCGAGACTATCACCAGAATGTTCATATTGTAGAGAATCCAATAGACATGACCCTGAACACCACTACTCATTTGTGAAACTAGAATTGAGTCGTTAAACTGCCATTTGCAGGGTAGATATTCTTCCCACTTTTTAAAGCATATGTTGGGTGAATACTTCACGTATTTGATGCCTATCATAAGTAGAATTTATAAATAGTAACTAATACTGTAGTGCCCTAACACAGTTACTGCCTTCTTGCTTTTACATTTATTTTACCTGGTTGAGAAATGACAACTTAATTCCCATGATTGTGGTCTTTAGTGACCACATGATGTGTTTGACTAGCAATTTATATTTATTTGTGTTATGCAAGAGATGTTGTCTTGTGTGTTTAAACCCGTTACTCATAAATAAATGCCTTTTTTTAATGAAAATATATAAACAGGTTGCAAGATAAAAGCTAAAGTTATTGTTCTGATGTGAGATAGGAGGTTAGTTTTATTTTTCTGACTATTTCTATCAGTTAGATAATGGATTCATCAGATTTGCAAGGATGATGTTCAAAAAAATTTAAACATATATACATTTATTCCTATATCTATGTATTTTGTTCAATGCAAAATAAAAGTATCTGCTGTGTTTTTATAAGAATTATAATGCAAAACACAGAAGAATCCCAATTTATCTTTCTCAATGTTATCTAGGCCAGAATTAAAACTTTAAATCTTCCTTTCAGAAACTATTTCCTGATAAAATATAAAACATGTATAATCTGCACTAGAAAGTTTTGTTTTGGTTCTTTATGTTAAACACTTGCTGGAATCAAACAGTCAATAAGTGAAATATTTAAATTATTATGTCATTGCTATTTCAGGGGATGTAAGGTGTAGACAGTGGCTGGTAAGAGCACCTTTATTTCATCCTCCATACAAAAAAATTAAATTATACTACTCATAATAATGATCCTCAAGTGTTTAATAGTTAGTACCAGCCCACAAAAACAAGATTTTTCAACCATTATATTTTTTACAAGATAATTTTTCAGATTGAAGGTTTTATCTATTTTAAAATAACTTTTTTGAAAAAAATTGGAAAGGAATTTCAACACAATGTGCTGATAACTGATGGGTGCAGAAAGATATATGGTTACGTTGTACATGTTCCATTTTTGACGAAAAGTGATCTTATTAAAGTACTCTTGATATGAGTTATTAAAAAGAATCTGAAAATTTTAGTATTCTTTGGATGGTGCTAAGAAATGAAGTTGTTGTCTTTAGAATACGTATTGAACAATGCCTGTAGTGCCATTGTAGTATTCTTTTGTAAATAAAACAAGATCTCAAACCACATTTTATTTAGATAAGAAAGTGAAAATATGTATGTTAGTGCATATAGTCAACTTTACAGTTTTCTGATTTTTATTTATGACTTGCTTCTGTTGTATTGCATGTTATTTACATTTTTACTCTGTGAAATATTCTGTCATTTTTGTTATTCATTAAATAACTATAACCATTTTGTGGAAGACTTGGTCATCTCAAAGATGTTATTTATATAAAGAATGGTGTAATGTGTATAACTGTTGAAATCTCCAATATACTACACAAATTTAAGTTTTTGTTATAACATTTGTTAATATTTCTTTATATTAAACTATGTTCTTACTTCTGTGATTCTCTAAAAGCATAAAATTACTATTTCTCAAAGATTATCTTCTTTTGACACTTGATACTTATAAAACCCCAGGTGTTAAACATTACCATTCTATAAGTTTTTTCCTCATCACCTCTTTCCTTATCTCTAGGGTATCCTTTGCATTTTAATCTGTTAAATATTTAGAATTGTGTGCTATATGTAGTTAAAACGTATATTAAGGTAGTAGAAGAATAAAACTTGAAAGTGAGCCACGTGACGTTTGTTTGTTTGTATACTTAAATTTTATAACTGGCATTTTTACATGTTCTTATTAATACTAAAATTATTAAAGTATTGAAATACGTGAAATCAAACTAAGTTTTGTGTGGTAAAAGTTGTGTAGTATTCACCATGGAAGAGAAGATTAAAAAATAAACACACTAATTATTGAATCTAGTACATTTAGTGCAAAATCCATTCCATTTGCACAACTACTTGAAAATAGCTCTGAATGCCTGAAATGCTAGTATATGGGGATCTGACAAAGCCTTGTAACTGAGAGTCGGCTTTGGGCCCCAAGAGGAATAAGAGGAGCATCCATCTATTGACACATCACTTAATAATTAAATTGGTTGTTTAAGAATGTTCCCTTGCATTGAAAATAGTTTTTCTGACCCTGCTACGGTGATCGATGGTGCATAAACCCCCACATACATGTTAAACGTTTTTTTCCCATAAAGTTTTGTTTTAATATTTTGAATACACTTAAGATTTTTTTTCATTTTGAATTTTAAAAAGTTCATTTGAAACAACAATTACAAATATTCAAGCAACAAGATACTAAATATTCACAAAGGAATTCATCAACATGAGAAAAACGTTGTTAGAAATGGCTTATGCAAATACTATTAATCTTCAGACATGTTGCGTGTTTTTAATGAATACATAAAATCATTTTAATTTATGGTACTGTCAAACAGATCACAAAACAATTAATTTTCACCAAATAGAAATTAGAATAGTAGTATACAGCAAACATTGTCTCCACCACAGTCTATGTTTGTCTGTCGAGGCGCGCGATGACAAGCTTCCTTAGACATGCACTCTCCCCCAACGTTCTGACACTGGGCTTGTACGGCTGAAACTAATTCACTATTTATTAATTACCGTACGAATCAAAATACATATTCATTTAGAAGTCATTAAATGTACGAAGCCTAAACTAGTAAAAAGAAGGAGAAAATTATTTTCACTTTAGCTTTTCTAAACATAATAAAATACTGTCTAATTTCTAAGCAGTATTATTCCACCAAATTTAAAAGATATTTTCAACGTGTTAATGTTAACTTGCTGCATTATGACAAGCAATTAAATTACGTTCAAATAACTGTATACTAAAGTTAACAGAAAATAAAACCATTCATGGGTGCAATGTTGATTAGTTAGTAGATACAATAAAGTGAAATAGATTAATATTATAGATTAAAAATAGCAAAAATCTGTATAGAAAAAACAAGTGATAACGTACAGGATAAAACTTCAGTTTAAAGAAAAAGTATAGATACGTGTATGTAGTTACACTATAAAACAATCAGTTTGGACACTTAATCAGGTTTGTATTTCCAGTTCCTATCTATACCAAGAACAGGCGATTTTCATAAAGAAAAAGATATTATTTTGTATTACAGTATTTCGACAATGTGTTGTTATCATCAGAACAATGTACAATTATTAAGCTTGTAATAAAGTTTTTTCACTATCGATTTAAGTCATCTCTAAACTTTATTGTCTAAAAGTGGGTTCCTCGTTATCAAAGATGATGGTGTATTAACTTTAATCATTAGGTCGATAAAATGTTGTTGATGTATTGATTGTTGAAGGGTAAACTGAATATGGGGGTTTTACTGATTCATATGGCTATAAAAAATATCTAATTACGTAGAAGAATGTATCCAGACATCAAATACCAAGGTAATGAAGATAAAGGTCCGGTTGTAGAGGGCGTTATGTAAGGCCTTTGGTTCTAGGATGTTCATGAAGTATAACTTTCAATTTCCTGTTTCCGGCTTGCACACATTGCTTTCCCGGACGTCTCGAAATGATTTCATTCATGCTAAAGCCCATACCCATGCCAAAATGAAGATAAAAAAGTTCCTGACTGCCTCCGGTTATCTCTCGAAGCATCTAGTAAACCTACCAAGAAGTTCGATTTGATGTGCATGAAGATGATTGCAAGTGCCGGAGCTAAATGATTTCCCGTGGATAAGCTATACATTTTCATACAGTGGTTATTTCCAAACCTAAAACAGTTATTGGTGAGAATTAATCTAGGGCAACTTTCTAGATCAGTTAAACTGATACCAAAGTTTGTTAAGTCAGGTTTATGTAAGTCTAAATAATCTATAACAAATTTTATTTCTTCCTCTGCCGTCATGTTGCTGCAGAGAAATCTAACATCTAAATGAAATAAAATTTTTCCACGTGGAAGGGTGTAAGGAAAATTGTGCAATTTATCAAGAAATTCGTTCAAATCTTCTCAATCAGCCATAACATTGGTTCGCAAGCGCTGTTAGGGTTAGAAACAGTTGATCTTAAAAGTACGTCTTACTTACGAACGTTAGGTAAACTATACCATTCAGGACATGATGAATGTCTAGGTACGAAGGTTGAAAGTATTTTTTTATACCTTTAAAGTTAGATGTTATATATTAACATATTTAAAAAATACCCTGAAAGACCGCTTGTTTTACCTTTCAATCAATAGCATATTCATGGTACCACACAAGTTATTTTTTTCTTTTATAGACGATATAGGCAGAGTCTTCATGATGAATAAAGGTCAAATGAGCAACTGTCTACTTCAGCATGACACTTGTAAAGAAAGCCTTAGAGGACAGATAAGCATAAGTAACATATCTTTCCATCTTTGATACCTTTATAGATTAGTCTTCTAAGACTTTTTCCACAAGTGTTACGCTGAATTATGCAGTTGCGGCCCATTTCTCCTTTATTTGTTCATGATATTTTCTTTACGAAAATCCTGTACAAAGCTCAAACCCCAACCTATCGTCTCATTACGAAAGGTTTATTTATTAGCACCAAAAACACCACTTAACACTGAAGCCAGTTGGCCCGTTCTTGATGTAGATAGGAACTGGGAATACAAATCGTAATAATTATCCAAATATATTAATTATACTATAGTATAAGTACATACATATATTTATAACTGTACATTAAACCAGTACTCCGGAGGGACATCAGTAAGTCTACGGATTTACAACACTAAAATCTGGGGTTCGATTCACCACAGTGGACACAGCAGATAGCGTAATGTGACTTTGCTCTAAAAAAAACCATTTAATCGAATTTTTATCACACAGATTTTTGTAATTTTAATCTGATATATTAATAAGCTAATTGTATGGCCTAACTTACTTTTTCACAGAGAAGGGTTTAATTTACATTATGTACAGCCCGAGCGAAGCCTAGTGGTTAGTTTTTATCGGACTGGAGATCATAAGGTCTCAGGTTCAATACGTGATGCTACCAGACACAAATTTGTAGTTTTAGATGTGGATGCGTTATAAGTATGACAGTAAAGTCATTATTTCGTGTAGCTGCCGACTGATTACATACCCTCTGATCTGCAGTTCAAAGTTATAGATGTTTATGTCAGAACCATAGGGTTTCGAATTTAAACATTTAGCCTTGTAGCAAAAACGTCTCCTTTTATTTTCAGGAACCATGCAGAATAAAACGTACATTCCAAAAATGTGTAACCAGAAAGTGTACAAAAAATTTCTTTAGTCAGATATATTCAGATAATTGTATTCTAAATTTTCTTGCAGGTGTTCTTCACGTATTATGAAAATTTTGTTCACCGAACGTCAAAAGGTCGTTTCATACGCAATGGCTAGAAATTCGTATCATTTTGGCCCTGTGTCTTTATACTCAAGAAAGAGGCAAGCCCATCTCTAGCGGTGATACAGATTCTTGTACAAATTGGTATGAATTAGGGTTACCCCCCCCCCCCCATAAATGTTGTTTGGTGTATTCCCTGACGTATGCGGCACTGGAATCTGGTATATGCTACAATTTTTGTGTGAATTTGACGCGGTAAATCAGAATTCCATTTGTCTTTGTCCTGTGCAAACATAAAATAATGACTGTTATTTTCCGGTGGACAAGAAGTGTTCTCACCCCAGCAGCCAGAACAGTCACTAAAGAATAAGGAGGCCAGCAAGTCTTGTAAGTAGACAGTACGTACATGAATTGTGATTAAAGATTTGTGTTCTTTTGTATTTGTTTCTTTCCGTTAGTGTCTGAGTTAGAAATTGTTCTCAAAAGTACATTTCTTGAAATTGCGTTTTGCGCATACTTTTAAACTTATCTGTCAGTCATCAGTGTACTTGAATACTACAAGGTTTCTAAGCAATATTCTGGAAATTGGCACTGTGGTATACGTGACGCACAAGCTTGACAGACGAAATGTTTATATATATATTATTCGGGAATCATGTATATGATAGAAAAATTCATATAAAATTTTTTTTAATAAAGAAATGCGAAAGGGATAAAGTGATAACAATAACTTATTTCGTGTCGCTTGTCAGAAATGAATATCACAGAAATAGGGGATGTAGTGATAATTATACTGAGCACTAAAGTAATCAAATTACGGAAATATATAACGTATTTTGTATAAACTAGTTGAAGCCAGATTTTCATTAATTAAATTAGTTTTTATACTTATTTTACTTAATCATACACACAATGAGTCTAAATATAAAATGCCATCTTCATACTATTATAAATATGGTCCAGTGATACCTGGATGGCAGCAAACGACGTTCCTCTTTCCCTGTTTCGAACACAGTCCAAAGTCAGAATTTCTGTTTTCAACAGGGCAGTAGTTTTTAAATGCGCACACACCACCTTTGCGTAAACACTCTTCTTCATTTTTTGGGATTCCACCTGATTGAACAAACATTATCATATATATATTACAAACAGCTCAAAAATAAATGAAATTTTCAGTATTTTAATTAAGACAAGCCAAAAATAATATGCTTAAGGGCGTAGCCGAGGGTTGAATGACCACCCTGATATTCTAGAAATTTCTTTACAACTCATCAGGTTATTACTGTGAGGTAAGGCTAAGTTACTCTTTGTTTTTGCTATCAGAACTCTTAAATATTTTCGTTTTACAAGTTTCATTTAGAGTAATGTAAATCACTTGTATTATTTGTGTAGAAGTTCAGTATTTTTTGGAATAAAGACCATCCACACGCGCATACTTTGTGGTGCTGGTTACGCCACTGTATGCTCAAAAACATATGGTAAAAGTACATTTAGGTGTTTACAACTATGAATTATTGATACTACAAATAGCAACTTAACCCGGTATCAGTGTTGCATGCTTAAATTTAGAATTTTGATAAGGTACCCTCGACCACGCCTGTAAAATAGATGTTTCCAGAGTATTTTTAGTGTCTCGAATCATTTGAAAAATGGCATGGCCTTCAAGACATTCATGTCAACCAACTTAGCCTAACCGAGCTAGACATTAACATCCTGTAGTCCTGGTAGAACAAGGCTAATAAGATGTAGTGGCTATAATGATGAACATTCATAGTATCGTACCAAAGGTTGTAGCAGTCGGTACATACATGTACATTGCTGCTTGTCCTTTTTGTACAGTACTTCCATATACTTCACATTCCTATAAAAAATGTAGTTGAATGTGGTTTCAAATTATCTCAAAATGAGTATATGCCTGACATATGCATCTCATGAGCGCAACGAGGGAGGGGGGGGGGGCTCGAGCCCTCCCCTAAAATCAATAATTTTTAAGATGTGTACAAAAACTATATACTAGAAAAAGTCATACTTAGATAGATGAATACTTTTCTAATCTGAACTACTTTGACACAATAAGAAATTCTCTTTTTTGTTATTTGCTCAGTAACCATTAAATACGGAAGACATCTTTGTTTCAATCTGCTTGTTTTTTAATTTCCGGTATAAATTCTTTCCGAGGAACTTCAGCGATACAAGTCCATTCTTGATTAAACCACTTTATTCTTTCTCGAAACAAACTTTTATAATACACGCTATAAATCACAGCGATTCACAATCTCGATATTTCGCTCTCGACGAGTACAAAACACACACTTTATATATTACTCCGCTGGCTTTCGCTGCCAGGCTTATATACTAAAGAAGTGGGCATCTCGAACAAACTCGGGCTTCCCCGATAATTCGAGAAACTTCACGCACGCTACCAGAGTCACGTGACTTCCGCTGTCATAACAAATATTTCAACAGTGAGTATTTTTTGTTTGGCGCACAAATCCAACCTTCACGTGCAAAGAGTAATACTGACATAAGTTAAGACTTTCTGTTTTGCATATTGATAAAGCTATACTTAGAGCTCAGTTAATTTTAATTTGTTTTCAGTAAATTATCTTTGAAATATTTTTTAGAATAATGGTCAAATAGTATTTGAAAAAAGTATTTCTTGTTAAAAGATGCAGAAGCCGTGTGAGAATAATTCCCCCCTCCCCCCCCCAGATAGCCTTCTGCGTAGCTTGGCGCCTAACAACAACTAACCAACAAAAACAGAGTAATTATTATGAAAATATTTTTGATGCCTTATATTCTTAGGATTGATTTAGTAAAACACAATTGTTATTCTGTAACTGCTATATATTACACTATTATTCTTAATATTTCCCATATTATATCTAAACTACTGTATATAGTAAAATAAATAAACGGGCAAATTTATAAATTAGTTTTGCTTTATATTTTTAAATTAGAAATGGCCTCATGTCGTATTCTAATATAAATATTATGTTACTTTCTCATTAACTGCACTAGTAGAAATCTCTTTTGGTGGACTGAAAGTGAATCTCATCCTTTACAAATTCGTGGTTGCGCGCATGACGCGCCTCACTGAGTATCTGATATATAGGCCTGCAATGTACGGTTTATTTCTAACGGCATGTACGCTGATACAGCTTTTAGTTGCAGCTGCAAACATTTGATTCATCCTCGAAGCATGTGCTCTTACGGTTGTGACAAACCACAATCGAGAGTAATAGTCGTCTACTTATATTATGGATGACTATGTACCTCAAGAGTATCACATTTTTAGAATGAGAACCTTGTACCTACCATGATATCCTTAATGTTGTACCTATAGTGTTACAGGATCCAATTAACCTTTAATTTTTATATGCAGAGTAGATCAAGTCAGACTTTATAGACCTGTAGTGCATGGATTAAATCACTGTTACCCTAACCTACTAAAATATATACCCAGAGCGACCGAGAGCCGCCCAGGGGAAGGATTGTTGTATACTGCCCTCCATTCCCCAGACCCAGATATAAATGTACAAACTGATTGTCAACAAGCTGACATTTGTGATTCCTTAATAGGATAATTTATCCAATCTTGGATTAAAAGCATGCACTATTACATAGCATCTTGATAGTTTTAACATGGCATATGTATCCTACTAACCTATTGTGTTTTTGTTATAGATTTTACAATGGGCTATCATATTTTGAGGATTTGTAAGAGCAGTATTAGTGTGCATTTGTTTATCGATATTTTGCTTTAATTGAATAAACCAATTTATGAGTAATTATGGAACTTTAGGTTTATTTTATAACACAAGGTTTGTTTAATCACTTTTATTATGTAATTTCGAGTCAATATTAATAACATTTCAACAAACTACTCAAATGAAATTGGGCTAAAAGCTTTTAAGGAACCAATGATGAATTCTATCACCATAAAATTGACAATGCACTAACACACAACACACTGCTGCGTAAATGGAAATCACAAGATTTGCTGAATAAAAAAAGTTAAATAAATGAATAAAATTAGTAAAGAGAAAAAAATGCTAATACAATAAGTTTCGTGTGAACATATGAAAGTAATACTTAATTGTACTTAAACATATTAGTTATTTAGTAGCAACATATAATAAAAATAGTTGAATACAAATCAGGTTTATAGTTTTTTCTATTTTAATACATAATTGGGTTTATTATCATTAGGCCAGGCAATTGTTTACTGTATGATTTTCATTGTTAGAAGTGTACTTTCCTTGCCTTCTGTCTGGCAAAGTGATGAATGACTTAAGTGGTTTTCAATTGCAAGGGTTTCCAGATCTGTCAGTCAGTCTTGGGTAATGATGGAGAGCAGATAATTATTTCATCAATTTCAGCTTGCTAAAAGATTTCTCCCCTTCTGCAACTGTAACTGTGCTAAAACTTCGTAGGACTACAGAAGCATTTGGGAAAGTGGATGTAGCTTAAATTAGTGCAGTTTGTTTAAAATGTCTAAAAGGATTTAATGCAGTATCACCAATGTTAGCTTTGTGGGTGGCCTTTAGATGTTTCATTTCTTCCTGCCACATCAGATCTATATTTGGCAACAAAGTCCCTAGTTTTTGAATGTAGATCATTCTCTGATATACCTAGATATTGCTACAAAAAAGAAAAAGTCTCATTAGTATCCATAGCTACTCTGTATCTTGTATTGTACCCAACAATAACAGAATTTATGATCTTATAAAATATCGCTTCAATATCAATGATAGTTTTGTTGGCCTGAAATACATGATTGTGCTGATCGATAATCACAAGTACCTTTAACCAGATTCCAACCATCAAGATGCAAAAAATGTATAGTCAGTTATACATTTGACTTCAGTTCTTGTTTGAGATGTAAGATTGAGTTGAAAGATTTCTGATAGTGCATCCAGAATCCCAGGCAGATTAGCTGCAAAAGACCTGTTATCTACTCTGTCTGTCCACCATGTTCATGAAAGTCCATGAAGAGAACAGCCTATAATCTTCAATCTTAATGCTCCATCGCTATGTGCTACAATTAAATAGATTGTAAGGCTTTTGAACTATTAAAAAAAGAAGAAAAAAACATTTTGAGCCTCTTTGCAACTTTCTGTTGCGTGTACTCCACAAAGTTTGAGACAAGCACATGGTGAGAACTTAGCCAGGAGATTAACTTTTAATAATAGACCTTGAGCACTATTATACTTACCAGTCATGTTGGACCCATTGTCATATCCTTGGGCTCTGCAATCCTTTATTGGTATTTCATGATCAGCTAAGCAATCAAGTATTAGATTAGAAATATCAGCCCCGGTCTTCTTATTGCAATTAATAAATCTTGGAAACATTTCTTGAATGACAAAAGAAGAACATTCTGATGGCATGGACACATACCTCAGGATAAAAGTTGTCTGTTCTTGAGGTGAATCAGGTGTTGCATCTTTTATGATACCAAAGTAATAAAGTAATAAATGAGTAGTTCAATTATTCCTAAAATATACCATTATCAGGAGTATCAATCCTCTGTGATGATCCACGAAATGCTACCCCCCCCCCCCCATCAAGAAAAAGACAACATTCATAATCCTTTTTAGGATATCCTTCCATTTGGTTGCTCTTGAGAGAATATTCTTCCCAAGCTGTAAATCAACACAGGAATTTGCTCCAAAACGTCTCTCAAACTTATACCACTCAGTATGGCATTTCTTATGATGAACACTTCTCTCATGCGCTGGTAGTCTATCATAAAGTTTCTTCCAGTCTGTTGTTAGCGGTCAACCTTTTGTAGTTGTAATTGTAGAGTGTGATGCAACCTGAGTCTTGGCGAGAAGTCGACGTGGAAAACAGTACAAAGCTTGCCTATTATTACTCCAAACTAGCAGGTCATGTTTACCGTATTCACCATTGTGCAGCAAAGACTTTCACTTGAAAGAGGAAAATCTTTAGATGTTGTAGAGGACCAGCTTTAACAGCTAGCTCAATGTTTTCAGCTGATACACTCTCATCAGTTAAGGTACCAACATGAAAGCCACTGAGCTATTGTGACTTTTCAGGAACATTTTTTTTTTAAGTGTACCTCTACTATTGATTACATTTGGTTGTAAGATAGTCACCCTGCTCTTCTATAACAGGATATGCTGAGAGATTGTCAATGCCATTCGTATTAGTATCAGTATTAGTATCATGCTCAGTCGATTCAGTTGAAGTAACAACACTTGCTTCATGGTAATTACTGACATCAGAACTTGAATAGAAAGCTTTGGGCTGATCTTCACTTTTCTTTTCAAAACCCACAACAAAAAGAGTTTGCCTTCCTCTACTTTCAACATATTCTTTCTGCTGTTTGAATTTTTTCTTTTGTGCATCAAATTTATGCTTATATTATTGAGATATTCTTCAATTGGAAGGACATTTTAAGTTGAAAGAAATATTTGATATCTTTAAGTCATCAATATATATTCAAACGGCAAACTAAATTCTAGTTTTATATACCTAGAAACACTATTCATAAAAATTTTGCAAGTGAATATTAGTAAAAAATATAACTAAGATACGAGTATTTTCGTTCTTGTGGCAATAAATAAATAAATAATGAAATTGCATGATGATAAAAGAATACAGTATAGGCAGTTCCGGATTTAGGCATAAGCTAAACAGGCTACAGCTTAGGGCCTCACAATCCGCAGGGGCCTCACACAATTTCATATTTTTTTTTACTTTTAAAATTTTATGTGGCTTTTTATGTGTACTGCAGTTTTTAAAATGGCCTGTGTGGCAAATTTTTATGTGTAGTTTTAAAATGGCTTTATACGTATTTAATTTAAGTAATATTTTAAGCCTAAATTTTCTATGTTTTCAGGTTTACAATGAAGAGAACATTCCCCATGTTCCCGCCCTTTCGGTGGGCCTGTATACATTTTTCTACACAGATATTCAAGTTTAGTAAACAGTTTTCATAACCACAGTATGAAAATAATTTGTACAGATTTCAATATATTTCTAATTATAAACAAAAATAACAATATTAAAACTTAATCTATCATTCGATTCATAACTTTGTCCCGAGTTATAAATACTAAACACACCGTACATTAAAAATAATGATTTGAATTCCGATTTCATTATACTTATTGAAAAATACTTTCATGAATAGCACAAAATTACTCTTAATAAGAAATGTTGCGGTTGATTCAACTGTCCATATTTCAACTGAACTATCCCAAAGTGACGGGAAGTGGTAAACGCTGTTAATATAGTGTTGAAGTGTTCTACTTATTTTCTAGTTTTTATCGTGTAAATGTAACTTAGTGTTTGGAACTCGTATTTTGTACCGCTGAATATTATTATTTTATCTCTTTCACTTCGTGAGGGTATGGTTTTGTTAAAGAAAAAATAGTCGTGGTCCAATATCAAAAATGATTACTCTGAAATAGTTTTTCTGCCCTTGCATTCTTCAAAAATATGCTGAGACTGTCATTTAACAGATTTTCCGTTCAACAATATAATTTAATTCACGTGTAACTTGAGATTGTAACTGCTTCGAAGCGATTTGATTTGGATATTGGACCTCTACAGGTGAGTTTGTGCATTTTGGTCTCTTTAAGCTATGTTGTGTACAATTAACTTCTTTAACCTGTTGAATTTTTATATGCTCATATAACTAATGCTAAGTTCCAGTAAATAAAATCCAATAGTTCTAAAAAAAGGTACGCGTTAAGCAAAAGAAGAATATGTAATACGTCAACTATAACATATTTGCCACATCCGAACAGGCTTTTTCTCCAATACCAGACCTCACTAGGCCAGCTGGGAAACGACAGACATAGACGTGGTCTAGGCGTTATTTATATAAGAAACTGCATGAATAACAAGTAATTTTGTGACATGTATGGGTTGTTGAATAAATTATTTCATGATATTCACTTTATAATAATAACTACCATATTGTTGAATATAAAATGCAAACGATTGTAAGAATTTCAAACGGCAAAATTTTATTATTTACACAAGGATATTACTTAATTTCATCTTGAATATATGGCGAATAATGTTCGTGCTTATTTAACAAATATCTGTTAAAAGACAAAATCTATGCAAGCGAAGCTATTTCGGGATGGGTATTCGGTCGTTGTGCGCGATCTGTGAGGATCAGGTTCAATCAGACCTCTTCCTCCCAACCTCTGCTAGGTTGACGTTTCATTTGGTCGTTGTTTGGTCATGTGACCTGGGAGGATCAGGTACACCTGGATCTCTACCTCCTTCCTTGACTATTGATTTGGTTATTGAGTGCCGGACAGTTGGATGAAGCCCACATCAATTAAGAATAAGGTCCGGTAGCTAGGAAAACCCGTTCTTACATCATGCAGTCACTGCATGCGCGTAGTAATAGCTCATTCACACACCTTTTCAGACCATGTTTATGAATGTATAACGTCGATTTTTCTGATATAAACTTTTTTGTTCATTGTGAACATAAAGTCTTGTTCACATAAACAGATCCATAAATTTAAATTGAAAACATATAGCACTAATTCTATTTTCACATAAATAAACCTCTTTAAAATAAAATTAACTATATCTAGCTACCGGTTTGCCCAGTCGTAGGTGGCCATTGATTACTTAAGGAATTTACTAGATTTAGTGGTGAGAGGTACTTATGTCTGTTACTACCATGTATGATAAAGTTTTTCATGGTTCATAGTGATTCGTTTTTGTTAAGATGTTTGAGAAAGTAATCTGTTGATCTATATGGAAGTCTGTCTGAGAACATGGGGATGTTTGCGTAATTATGTAAGAATGTTGTGTTTGTGTATCAAGGAACTCTGTGAGCTTTAGTGATTGGTGTATTTTGTATAACCTCTGCAAGCTGAACTGTGAAAATATCGTTCAAAAATGGCGCCACAACAGTATAATGTGTGATTAAATTTTAAGGTATCGGACATCATAGAAGCAACTACACAGATACCATTCACAATTATTGTTAATATGCCTTATATAGAATCCATAAGTATACGCATAATAGCCAATAACACTCACTTCGTCTTCAAGACGAAAAAATGACAGCGTAAATTTATTCAGTATGTACTTTTCAATTTCTACCTAAGCAAAGCTATAATAAAGCATGAGTCAGTGCATGCTTGTTACATGTATTATTCTCTTTTTAATAGAAAGTGACAAAAATGACTCATCAATAGAGCATACTTTTAAATAATGTGTAAGTGAATGCTTTTTTTATCTGCAACATAGCAGCCATCTACCCACATATGCATGATTTATTTTGCTTTTTTGTACTTTGTCAAATATGTAACATTATAGCTAGAATTTGTTTTCTCTCTAAAAACATAGGCGCTAGGAACCCAGCCTGTTTACTCCCATGTTTTGGTTTAAGAAATTGCCCCATGTTATTTATTTTAACTTAAATCATCTTACCCATTAAACAGACTCAAATTACATGGTAATAATAAACTTCTAAACATAACACACACACAAGCGATTATAAACCTAGTGTGGTGATATGGAGAATTTTCTGACATTTAGCTGCTTCGAAAAATCCGGATTCATTCCTATATGCTTATACTGCTCAAAGGCGTAGCCAAACTTTAGATAATTACCAAACCGGGTATAAGCTAACGCCCTTAGATATGTATAATTCTTTAATTATGTTTAACGACCCTTTAGATTTTTTTGCTCACCAAGGATATGTACGAATCGCATTTTCTACAAACGCCTGACAGTTGTTTTACAGTGAAGGCAGAAACAAGCTACAAGTATTGCCAAAAATAAGGTAACTTAATTTTCTTGAAACAAATGTGGCGACTAGGTAAAGATATTACACTATCACAATTACTTATTATAAATTGTGATAAATATATTTATTACTCAATTATATTTCAATCGCATCTAATATACAGAAACTATATTGCACACCGACTTTTCAAAATAATTATTGACTAATGAATAATAAATCTAAAGTCAAAAGAAAATAAATCTTACAACCCTGCGTATATACCAGATGTGTTCTAATTCTGTGTGTAACTTTGAAGACTGTTGATAAAATCAAGCGAAAATATGTTACAACCCTGCGTATATACCAGATGTGTTCTAATTCTGTGTGTAACTTTGAAGTCTGTTGATAAAATTAAGCGAAAATATGTTACAACCCTGCGTATATACCAGATGTGTTCTAATTCTGTGTGTAACTTTGAAGACTGTTGATAAAATTAAGAGAAAATATGTGATTTTTCTTTTAAAAATCTGTTTAAATATCCTTGATTTAAATTTTATTTTCAGATTGATGTTTTTATATTAATAACATTTTTATTACACTAATCAATCCTTTTATCAGTAAATAATACTTAATCTCTGTTACACTTTAGATAAGTATATTAAATTACTATATTTGGCTAAAGAAGAAAATGCTAGACGGATTTTTTTATACTAGATAGCATCTGGTGCGCACTGAACAGTACTGTAATTAATCAAGATGTTTTGAACATTGCCTTTTTACATAGCTTACTCTATGCCAGTTGTATACATGAAATAATAAAACAACAAAACAGTTGTGTGTGTGTATGTATATATAACAAACACACTGTATAAAGCAGTCATTTGTCAGAGGTAACACTTAATTTCAGCTTAGTATTTTTATCAATGCTGAACTACAAGATTATTTTAGAAGCTCTAAAAATTAAAAACAAAACTTTCTTGCTATTTTGACTTTTTCAAGAGATGTCTGAGAGCTAAAGTAATTTTCATTACAAGACTAATTGGTTTAAAATAGTAAAGTTTTTATAAATTTTTTCAACTTCTAGAGTAGCTAGTTTTCTTACCTGTAGTTAAAGCAAAGAGAAGTGATACCACAAGAATAGTTCCAAAAGTCATTCTTTTGGCTTATAATTCTACTACACTTATAGTGAATGACGATCTCCGAAATCCTTTGAAATATATGCCTTTTTAACTATACTCACTTCTTTTAAAAGGTTTGGCGAGGAAACGTTGTGTAATGTTCACCGATTTCAAGAAATAATAACGCGTAAATAAACAGGGCTTGAACGTTCCCAGTCAGCATATTTGACGCTGAAGATGTGACCTACGATTGAAGTGTGCCAAGAGTGCAAAATAGAAACCGGTTATCATAACTGTTCGCTGTTCTTCCAAGAATCAACAACAAACATTTCCTTCAAATAGATGGTTTAAGTATGGGCAAACCTGTTTCGCCCGTTCTTGCCAATATATTTATGACTCCGC